CAGAATAAGTGAGAACCACAAACCACTTGCATGATAAAAATACTTCAATAATTTCAATGAAATAAATGTGGTTTGTATGCCCTTTTTGTAGTAAAATTAGATGGCAGTTTTCTAATAACTCTGTCATTGCAAATACTCCCATTTGCTTCATGTTGCAAGTTATGACTTCCTTTGTATTATTTTCTGTTGCCAGTTGTGTCAGGTGGTTGCGATGAGGGACCAGAAGTTGTCACTGAGTGGCAACCTCTGTCAAATTTAGTCAGCTGTCCTAGAATCACACGTCTAGTTGCCTGAGGCTCAGACCCAGTTACTCTGCTCTGACTGAGACGACAACTATCTCGTCACTATAAACTACCTTTGATCAATGGCTAAGACGTCTGTTAAACTATGCTGTGACTCACAAAAATTTAAATAAAAAGTGTGTACACAGTTTTTCGTGTTAGAACTGCAACTTTGTTTTTTTTTTTGTTTTTATGTGATTCACCAAAACAAAGAATAACACTTATGTCTTTACCAGTTTGCCCACTTTTCTTTGAAAATACTAGTGGGGATGTGTGTTCAGAGTAATGTGCAGTGTTTATTTAGTGCAAAAACTCTGCTGTTTGATTAAATCTTTTCATAAATACCAAGGGTGTCGTCTATTAACTTTGCATATACCCAAACCAGCTCCTCAAACTTGTGTACTCCTACTCTGACCTATGCATACAGGGTACATAGATTTTATAGGCAGGGCAATCGGCAACACAGATGGAGAATTCAAGCTAGATTGTATCATAATCCCTGTACGACATGTAATTTGACTTAATATGGGACCCTTTGCATAGATTGACTTTATAGGATCTGCAATTTCACTGTGATATACTGTTTGCCAGAACTCCTGAGCCAACATATTATACAAAACTAAAAGAGGAAAATGTTTAGAAGACATCTTAAATTCAAGTTTGCTTTATTATTTGTTCACCACTCTGGGTTTCCTGAGAAATGGCTCATACAGGTGCTCATACCATTGCAGGTGTTAAACAAAATCAACAATTAATTCTTGAAGATCCGTTTAATGAAGTTATGCATAAAGTCGAAATATCATTGCCAGTGCTAAACATTATACTGCTTCCCATCTGGAATGGCATTGTTAATATGATCAGTCTGTTTAAGTTGGACTCATCTTGCCATTCATACCATGTTTCACTTGGTTGCAAAGTCTGGGGTAAAGCTAGAATTTTTTGTGGTTTTGTGTTTATATGGTTTATTAAATCAGATTTTGTTTTGCTTTTTTAATGTACACTATTTCCTAGGTGTTTACTGTATGTACACTTTTAGTATGGAACCAATGCAATTTTTTATAAATGAGGCACTAGATATGTGAAGTGCATGACCAATTGCTGTCCTTACCTGAACCAAGAACCCCTGTAGCTCCTGTACAGTTACAAATTACAAGAGGCTTTTGCTATGATCTTAAATTTTGGACCTTTTGTTTCATTTTAAGCTTTTATTTTTTTGGGCTCACAAGTTTGTTTTGTCTTGTTGTGTGTTGTCTAGATTTAGATCGTTTTGTAGTCTTAGTTTGTCTCTTCCTTAGGCTTAGACAACGTTCATTGTCATTTTGTATACACAGAGTGTATCCAAAACAATATTTCATTTAGTACAGCTTTTCAGACAGTAAATGAATATTTCCATTCTATAAAGTGCAGCAGTGATCAAATGTAAACAGTGTGGGATAAAAAATATGGTGCAAAAAAAAAATTTGTCCTGGTTATTTCTTTACTTCAACATTTTTGGTATAATTTATTCATTGGTCTAGTTTTAGTTTTTCTTTTATCTTTAACTTAGGTTTTCTATGGTTCAGTTATCTCCAATCCCTTCTCTTATTCTTTACTTTTCCCTCAGTCATTCCTTATTTTTTAGTCATTAGTTTTATTTCCCTTTAGCCTTATTAAAGGTCTTTTCTAGTTACTGTTAGATCCTGTTATTTCTCCCTGGTTATTATTTTATGCCCCCTATTGTCCTTTCCTCCTCCCTTTGCTCCTTCTAGCTACTCTGTCTACACATGTTCCCTATCAGCTAATTCGATTCTGGACTATGGATTTTGTATGTTTACTTCTTCATTAAATTTCATCTCTTCCTCCTCTACTTTGCATTTTGGTTCACTACAACATCCAACAGCCCTGACAG